TCCCTTTCCCTCCGGCTTCCTTCTCCCTCGGACTGCACTTGAAAGCCTCCCCCGCTTGGCCAGATACAGCCACAGAATTGTCGAGCTCTTATTTCTGTAGTTGGGTGCAAGTGGGGAGACTGAGGCCCCTGATTGTGGGGGCTGACTGATGTCTCTTACTCTGTTAAGTGTTTCTAAAGTTATTACGAGAGCAGCATGAGGAAAGGAGCTCCGTGACAAGCCGGCCGGATGTCTCCTGGGCCACGGGCGCAGATGAGTGATTGGATTCATTGGACGAGTGTTGGATGCCCAGAGGGCCAGCGCTGTGCCGGGAACTGGGGCGTAGCAGTGAGCAAGTGAGTTCCAGCACTCATGGAGTTACAGCGGGGGAGATGGACAAGGGTTTATGTCGGGGTGGCTAACTAAAAGAAAAAGCAGGGAAAAGGGATGGAGTGTCTGCTGGTGACATAGTGTTACATAGGGTGTCCTGGGAATGGCTGAAGTGACACTTGAGCAGAGACCTGAAGTGAAGGAGTTAGCCTTACTGACATAGAGGAAGGAGCAAGTGCCAAGGCCCTGAGGCACAATGTGGCCGGATTAGGACAAGGAGGAAAAACAGGAGAGAGCCAGATTATGAAGGGCTCCTTGGCTACTGTAAGGACTTTGTTTTTTCCTTTCAGTAAATTGGAAATCTCTATAAGGTTTTAAGCAGGTTGACGTAATAAAAGGACCCCTATGGCTGCAGTATGGGAAATAAATTGAGAGTAAGCTAGGGCACAAGCAGGCAGATTAATTAATTAGGAGGCTGGTGTAGTAATCCAGGCAAAAGATGGTGGGGCTTAGTGCAGGTTAATAGCAACCAGTAAGGGAGAAATGGTCTGAGTGAAAAGTGAGCTAATGATTTGCTGATGGTTGGAGTATGAAAGAAGAGTCAAGGATGAGTCTTGTAGGAATTGGCCAACAATTAAGCTCCTACTGGGATTTACATTGTATAGGCACTGAAGGAGTTTTCTGGACTGGTTTGCCTATCATATATGCTGAGTAATTAAATCTGAGGCTCTCTATGTAATAATAAATAATTTATAAAGTAAGGTAGACCCAGTGAAATCCTCCCTACATTTTGCCAGGGGAAAAAATTCATATTTAGCTACTAGATCAGATCCTTTTTTTACAGCATGTCATAACTACTTTGTCTTCATAAAGCTTTTCACAGTATGTAACCATATATTTCTGCCATTTTTTTGCCCTCCAAAAAAATTAAACTTTTAGTCTTCCTCTGGCCGATAAATTTCTGATTATAAAGTGAATCCATAGCATGCATTTCTCATTCTTGATATATCTCTGTGTTTCTCTGCAAATGATAGTTGAAGCTTATTATGTTTTTCTAAATACAGAGGAAGATTTTCATTAAGTTGGACTGTCAGAGAACCTAGGAATTTCATTAGTAACAGGCAAGACCGTTGGTAAAAATTAAAATATGCTTTTCTTCATCCTCTTTTTGAAAACCTAAGCATACCTTACCATGCCATCCCATCCACCAATCACACTCATTGGCATTTACCAAAAGATTTGAAAACTTATGTCCACGCAAACACTTGCAGAAGGATGGTTATAGCAGCTTTATTCATAATTGCCAAAACTCGGAAGCAATCAAAATATCCTTTAGTCAGTGAATGGATAAACTGTGGTACATCCAGACAATGAAATATTATTTAGCGTTAAAAAGAAATTAGCTATTAAGCCATGAAAAGACATGGAGGAACCTTAAATGCATTGTTACTAAGTGAAAGGAGCCAATCTGAAAAGGCTACCTATTGTGTGATTCCAACTATATGACATTCTGGAAAAAGCAAAACTATGGAGACAGTGAAAAGATCAATGGTTATCAGGAGTTGAAGGGAGGAAGGCAGGTAGAGCACAGAGGATTTTTAGGGCAGTGAAAACTATTTTGTATGGTATCATAATGGTAGATACATGTCATTATACATTTTCCAAACACATAGACTGTACACCACCAAGAGTGAACCCTAATGTAAACTATGGACTTTGGGTGATTATGTGTCAATGTAGTTTCATTGATTGAACCAATGGGATGTTGATAGTGGGGGAAGCTGTGCATGTGTGGAGGCAGAGGATATATGGAAACGCTGTACTTTCCACCCAATTTTGCTGTGAGCAAAAAATACTCTTAAAAAAATACCTAAGAACTGACAGATGCTGCATGCTCATGCTCACTGTGTTCCAGGCCTGTGCTATGAGCTTATATCCTCATCTGTAAGTGAGATACCAGTAAAAATAAAGATATGCATGGAACTGTTTGACAACAAATTCAGAAAAATGAATAATTCAGTAAGAAAGGAAAGAGATTCAATCCTAGATGATATTCGGGGATTTTCAATTTATTGGTAATGTTTCATTTCTCAAGAATTGATTGTATTATTGTTATACCTTTTTATCTTAAATACTTCATGATACATTTAAAATATGAATGAATGAGAATAAATGCAATTTGAGCTTCACATGAACTTGCTTACTGAGAAACTGGTTGTTAGATCACTCTTTACATCTGGTCTGCTTGACAGTGTATTTTATTCCTCAGTGTTACTGGTGTCCAGTTATACTCTCCTTGTGTAGTTAGTCACACTAAGGCATCTTTCTAGAAATTAATCAATACTGGGGGGCTAAACATATTGAAGACCAAGGCTGAAGGCCTGACCCTGAGGCATGGACCATTCACACCATATGAGACCTTTTGAGGAAAATCCAACTAGCCTTCCCAAGCTGAACCTGTCTCTTCGCCTGCATTCAGACTTAGTCTTAAAAATATTTAATACAGTGGTACCTCGGTTTTCGAATGTGATGTGTTCTGGAAGCCCGTTTGAGTTTTGAAACATTCGAAAACTGAGGGATCCGCAGCTGACAGCTAGGCCTCATGATCTTGCCCTCAGCGGAAGCCATGTGGCATGTTTGAATTCCGAGGCATGTTCGAAAACCAAAGCATTTCCTTCAGGGTTTACGGCATTCGTAAATCGAAATGTTCGTCAATGGACACATTTGAAAACTGAGGTACCACTGTATTTAAATCTTGTGTTGCTATTTTACTTCCCAAAAGTTTGTGTCTCATATCCCTGACCATATCCTAAGCTCTTGAAGATAAACTCTTCCTACCCCAAAGGTCCCAACATAGAAGACGCTCATACTGATGACCTCCAAGGAACCATGCCTCCTGGTATACAAAAGCCTGTGTAATCGCCTCCCACAATGACTCTGGGCTTAGTGCCTGACTTGCTTTGGCCAATAGGGCATTAGCAAAGCATGAGGCAAGTAGAGGCTTGATAAGCACTTGCCCTTTTGGAACCCAGTTGCCACATAAAGAATCTCAGGCTAGACTACTGAATGATGACAGAGAAGTCCTAGCCTTGCAATGATCCCTGCCAAGACCCAAGATACATGGGTGAAGCCATCTTAAACCCACCAGCTAACCCACGAGTTGCATGAGAGAGCTGTTTCCTTGCTCTGAAAGGAATGCTTCATCTTTTTCTAGGTGTTGTCATGTTAGGATGTGAAGGTAGAATTGCTATAGCCATCTTTCGACCATGAGTGGAACTTCTGGAGAAACAAAACCAGCACACTGAGGATGGGAAAGTGGAGAGAAAGAACCTGGGTCCATGATGACATTATAGGGTTGCTGAATTAACTATGGAGCTAGTTGACCTCTGGACTTTTTATTATATAAGAGAGCATATTTCCTCCTCTTTTTTTTTTTTTTTAAAAGAGAGAGTCCAAGGGAGAGAGACAGAGACAGAGACAGAAATATCCATGTGAGACACATTGATAGGTTGCCTCCCTCATGGACTGGGGCCCCAGCCCACGTATGTGCCTTAACCTGAATCAAACCCCAGACCCTTCAGTCCCAGGGCCTATGCTCTAGCCCGTGAGCAAGAAGCTATATCTTAAATGGCCTTGCAGAATATAGAAAATTTGCTCCTAGATGATGTTATCTTTGTTTATTCAAAGAAGCAGTTCTGTGGTTTAAGAAACGTAAAATGAAGGGCGGAAAAAAAGCTCTCATTTCTCAGTACCCCGCGCTGTGAACAGTTCCGGTTGGTCTCTTCTTTGCAAATCGCAGCTTCTAAACTTTGCACAAGCCGTCCTGTGGGTTACGCTTGCCTCTCCCAGTTTTGGAGCCCTGCAGTCCAAGACCACACTACTGACTAATCATTTGCCCTCTTATTCTTTCATAAATATTAGTCTTTTCTCTTAACTAGTGTACACATACTTTGAGAGCAGAAATCATAGTCTTCCTGTATATTGTTTATCACTTGACATTCAATATCCAATTAGTGAGTGAATGACTTAATGATCAATTATCTTTTGTAACAAATGGTACTCTCAATGCTTGGATTTTTATAAAAGTTGTTGCAATATAAGATTAAATCTTTTTGAAGTTTATAAAGATCGTCATTGTAAATATTTTAATTTTTAAATATTTTTATGTACACATTTTGAAAACTAAATTTTATTTTTGCTTAATTAGAAAAAATAATACACTTACACATTTGTAAATTAGTATTTGGAAAATTTTACATTCGAATTAACTTTAACATTTAAAAAGATTTTGAATTCTCTACCCAAAACTTTAAAAAGTCATGCTAACTTTAATCACCCCAAATTGTAAAGTTCCTTATTACTGTCCTCTTTATCTTTCCGATAAAATATGTATATTTCAAAATTACACTCTTTAAAAGTATTTCAACTTGTCAAAAAGTCAAATGATTTAAAATCTAGCTTAATGTTTCTTTTCTGTTGCTATAAAGCTGAGTGTACTGTTTGATACTGTAAGTTAAAAAAAAGCTTTTTGTGTGTGTCCTGTAAATTTTTCTTCCTCAGATGTCTCCCTCCTTTGGAAATGTACCCTCTGTAAGTGTTCGAGGGGAACCTGGAAGAGAGGAACAGTTCTGAGCTCTCAGCCTTCCCTTCCGCCCAGCGGTTCACTTTAAAAAGCTAAAAGGAGAGGGGGTGGGGCGGGCGGGGCGCCTGCGCCTGCGCCTGCGCGTCTTCTAGTAGTCGACGTCACGGCGCCGGCGTCGGCGGACTGTACGTGCGCCACGGTCGCCGCAGCCATTTACTCAACCGAGCTGCTGTCTCTGTAGTCGCTGCTGCCGCTGCTGCCGCGTCTGCCGCCATGGCTCAGTACAAGGGCGCCGCGAGCGAGGCGGGCCGCGCCATGCACCTGATGAAGAAGCGGGAGAAGCAGCGCGAGCAGATGGAGCAGATGAAGCAGCGGATCGCGGAGGAGAACATAATGAAATCCAACATCGACAAGAAGTTCTCGGCACACTATGATGCCGTGGAGGCGGAGCTCAAGTCCAGCACCGTGGGCCTTGTGACCCTGAATGACATGAAGGCCAAGCAGGAGGCACTGGTGAAGGAGCGGGAGAAGCAGCTGGCCAAGAAGGAGCAGTCGAAGGAGCTGCAGCTGAAGCTGGAGAAGCTGCGAGAGAAGGAGCGCAAGAAGGAGGCCAAGCGGAAGATCTCCTGTCTTTCCTTCACGGTGGGTGAGGAGGAGGAGGCGGGCGAGGAGCAGGAGGAGGCGGCCACGTTTGAGGAGGAGTTGGAAAGGGAAGAGATGGCCGCGAAGAGGAGGAAATTGGGGAAGAACCCAGATGTGGACACGAGCTTTTTGCCTGACCGGGACCGCGAGGAGGAGGAGAATCGGCTCCGGGAAGAGCTGCGGCAAGAGTGGGAGGCCAAGCAGGAGAAGATCAAGAGCGAGGAGATTGAAATCACCTTCAGTTACTGGGATGGCTCCGGGCACCGGCGGACAGTCAAGATGAAAAAAGGTAACACCATGCAGCAGTTCCTGCAGAAGGCGCTTGAGATCCTGCGCAAAGACTTCAGTGAGCTCAGGTCAGCGGGGGTGGAGCAGCTCATGTACATCAAGGAGGACCTAATCATACCCCACCACCACAGCTTCTATGATTTCATCGTCACCAAGGCACGAGGGAAGAGTGGGCCCCTCTTTAATTTCGACGTTCACGATGATGTGCGGCTGCTCAGTGACGCCACTGTGGAGAAGGATGAGTCGCATGCGGGCAAGGTGGTGCTGAGGAGCTGGTACGAGAAGAACAAGCACATCTTCCCCGCCAGCCGCTGGGAACCCTATGACCCCGAGAAGAAGTGGGACAAGTACACAATCCGGTGAATGCAGAGCTGGAGTAGGCTTGCTCCCCGGTTCCTTCCAGGCTCCCCACTCCCCGCATCTCCAGGATTCCAGACGCCCGGCTTCACCCCTCCTGTGATGTGACTGATCATCCCCTGCCCCTGATGCTGTCATTTACTGCTTTTTTCTTTTACATAAAGAAATGCACATGTTAGAGTCAGAGCGTTGTGTTTTATTGTAAAAAATATTTTTGAGATAAAATTCACATAAGAAAGTTCACCGTTTTGGCCATATGCAAGTGTACAAATTCAGGGGTATTTAGTACATTGAAAATGTTGTGCAACCATCACCTCTATCTAGTTCCAGAGTATTTCCAGCACCCCAAAAGGAAACCTCTATACCCATTAGCAGTCTCTCCCTCAGGCCCTGGCACCCTCTAGCTTACTTTCTGTCTATATGGATTTGCCTATTCTGGGATTTTCACATAAATGGAATTATACAATTGAAAAACAGCTAAAGTGAGAGACTCAGGTACCCCTTCCCCAACTATTTTCAATAGGTTTATTCATTCATTCATATACATAGATATATTCCTGAATTTACATACAATGTCAAGTTATAAATCAGGGACTTTTAAAATAAATAAAAGATTTAAATCTCTGCCAACTTTCCTTTAATAACATGGGGGAAAAACAAACTCTTAAGATCTGAAATGTGAGACTTTTTCTATTTTTTCATCCCCTAATAAGCACTAACAAGCAATTTGCATCAATTCACCACCTACTCCTTGGCATCCCCAATTCCTCCAGCAGTTATTGCGAAGGTGGCTTCATTTTCAGGCATCTCAGGGCTAACAGAATGCAAGGGAACAGAAGTTTATAAAAAGCTCTATTTCTAAAAATACTATATTCATGCCACAGGCATCATATTCCTATTGAGTTTCCAGAGACATCTCAGAGTTGGTACAGCTAAATGTGGACTACAGAATTTACAAGTATCAACCCTCACAAACATTGAACAACTTTTTTTCTTTAATTCTTAAAAAGTTTATTTGAACCAAACTGAGGATATGCTGGGAAGCAAGATATCAAATGCTCCTGAACAACTATATGCAAGATTCTGAATGTCAAGAAAAACTTAGAAATAGGCACAAAGAATAACTGTTTTGTGTAGCAGTCCCTAGGGGCTTATCTGATTCTAAAGGGGTGTGCACCTTTTATTGGCTAGACCAATGTAGGGAGAAACTGAAAGACTGAAATGAACTAAAAGATTACTAAAGTACCTTCAGTGGAAATACAGGTTGGCTAGCACATCTTTCCAGGTTATCCAACTCTTATGAGGACTCTGTGCTTTTCATTGTCTTTGAGCTATTATTTATAACTATAAGTTGTATAAAACTATGAGTAATATAAATTATTCTTGTCCACAGAAATGTAAATTGTGTGAGGAGGCATGTAACTGATTATTGTTCTATGGATACCGTGACCTGTTTTTGATCAGTTTATAATTCATTTCAGCATTCCTTATCTGACTACATATGTGTGGTAATCTGATTTTTCTTTTCATCTAGTTACAAAATCTTATTGGTTACTGCATTAATGAGTTGAATAAACTCTTTGACATTTTATATTTGTACATGAGTCTTTATATGCTCTTTAAAAGTTTAGCTTTTAATTCTACAACTCTGTAGAGTTAATTTGTAGGACACTAATAGCAATGCAGATTATTCCAGTCTATAGCAATGGAAATGAACTTCATTTCCATTAAATTGTGTAGAGAAGCTACTGATTTCCCTTCAGTAGAAAAGACAACTTCATTTATTGATTTATTGATTTTTTTAGAAAAAGGGAAATATCAATTTGTTTGTTCCACTTATGTATGCATTCCTTGGTTATTCTTGTACATGCTCTGACTGGAGATCGAACCCACAGCCTTGGTGTATCTGGACAACACTAACCGACAGAGCTACCCAGCAAGGATCAAAAAAGACAACTTCAAATATTACAATTTATTGCCTGGTAGGATATTAACCAATTCTGCATTTACTAGCAAATTTATTTCAGCATTCCTTTGACTGACTACATAAACCTCTCAAATTATCCTTTGAATTGGTGGTTTCCTCATTAATTGCTTAGTTGAATAAAATCTATGATGACTTTCATTTTATATTTATTTGCAATAAAGTAATGTTTTTAACTTTTTGAGAATCATACTTTAGCATATACTAGACCCTACAGATTTTACAAAAATGAGACAGAGTCCTTCCTCTCAAGTCAACAGGTGAGCTATGACATATGACAAATAAGCTGTTCAATAAAGTTATGTTATATATGTTATATATGTTATAGAATTCTAAAGAAAGGAGACATTATGCCAGGTAGGTTGATTAAGAAACATTTGAAGGGCCTTTGAGGCAGAAATGGGAGTAATCCAGGTAGAGGAAATAGCATAAATTAAAAACTGGAAATAGAGAGCTTGTTTCATGTATAGGAAAGGGGAGAAGAACAAGTTATGCTTAGATATGTTGCACTTGAGGTACTTCTGGAACATTCATGCAGAAGAGTTCTGCAAGCAGTTAAGAGAAAAATGTACTCTTGAGGGCCAGCTATAGCTGCTTACAGGAGCAGTTGCTATGGTGACATTTTAGGAAATGGGCTGGGTTCCTTTTTGTAGTCATTCCTGTACACCTGGGAATTCTGAGAATCCTTTTCTGCTCAATTCTTGGGGAATTCTTTGTTTTCTTTTAGCAAGAAATGTCTTACCTGTGTATAATGTGATAGTTGAAGACATGAGGGTAGCTATGGTAGACTAGCTATGACTACCCTAAAAAGATCATCCCTAATACACTAAGAAATAGTGTAATGATTGAAAGTGCAGACCCTAGGTTTAGACAGCATCGATTCTAATCCTGATTCCATACTTTATTAGTTGTGTGGTTTAGGCAAGTCCATTCATTTACTCATTAAGAAAATATTTATTGAGCATCTGTTATATCCCTGTTGTACAGACTTGAGATCTGTAAGTGAAAAAAATAAATACTCCTGCCCTTGTGGAATTTACATTTGGGGAGAAGGAGAGACAGACAATAAATAATGGACATAATAAATATATTATGCAATATGTTGGAAAATGATGTGAGGAAAGAAAAAGTAGAGCTGGGTAAGGGAAACTGGAAGTATGGAAACTGGAAGGAGGCTAGTTGCAATTTTAAATAGGCAGATCACGATAAGCATTGTTGAAAAGGGAACATTTGATCAAATTCTTGAAGTAGGTGAGGGAGATAACCAGAGGAAGGGTAACGGGAAAGATTAGTCCACTCGGGGAACAATAAGCGCAAGAGCCCTCAGGTAGGTGTGTGCCTGAGGTGTGTATAGAACACCAAGGTGCCCACTGAGGTCGCAGCACTGTGAGCAAGGGGAGAGCAGGAGGAACAGGAACGAGGCGATTCATGCAGTGCTCTGTAAGCCACTGTAGAGACCTGGGCTTTTATTACGAGTTAAGATGGGGAGCCATTGGAAGATTTTAAGCAGAGAATAAATATGATCTTAATTTCATAAAGGATTGCCCTGACTTCAGTGTTTAAAATAGACTATAGAGGAGCAATGGTTACCTAACTGCTTGGGGCCTTGGTTTCTTCGTGTGTAAAATGGGGATAATGACCTCTATCTCTTAGGGTTGTTGTTATAAACAATGAAATACATTAAAGCACTTGGTGTAGGCCTAGCACATAGTGGCACTCAATTGGTGTTAGCTCTCACTATTAGCAGCAGCATCTTCTCTACCAAAAGTTGACATCAAGGAGAACTCTTTGTGAGAGATCTTTAGGGACCAGAAAGAAGAGAGTATGTGCTACACACACTAGAAACTTAGAAAACTAAGTTTTGACATTTTAAACTCTGACCTAGTTTTGCTGTTTTTATTCAAATTTATGAAACTATGACATAACTAATCTCTGTGATAACTTTATCCTTTATTGAGTCTGCAGAACCCTAGTATTCTCTTAGGACTGTAAGAAATGCAGAAGCTGTCTGTTCACGCACAGTTTGGAGGGCTTGATGAAATATACAAATGATTGAACATGGAAGTCCATTCATTTGTTAATTTTACAAATAGTGAGTGAGTTCCTACCATGTGCCAAATAGCTTGCTAGGTACTAGGGACATTAAAGAAACAAACAGTCCCTGTTGTGAGGGAGATGTACGTGTAATCAGTTGATTACAATTCAGAGTGAAAAATATTCAGAAAGTTCTAAGCAAGCAATCTGTCCAAGATATAGACAAATTTTAGTAAAAATATGAAACAATTCTACTATCTATTTAACAAAAAAACATTTGTAGCAAATTTCTAGAGCTTGTTGAAGCTCCATAAAACACAGCATTTGAATATTATAGTCTTCTACAGGACAGGTAATGGAAAGCAAAATGGTCTGAATAAAAACCATACAGATGTGGGAACTGATTACTTAATATTTATTCAATGACAATATATAATAAGTACTGTGATTCATTAAAAAAAACAGATTAAGCACTCGTCTGATTTCTTTTTCACTGATTCTTCCCTCCCTAGAGTAAAGAGTTATTATACATCTTTGCCTTGTTGCTCAGGGTTGGCTAATCAATCAGTCACAAATATTGCACATCTATGATATCCCAGGCAGTGTCCCTTAAGGATTTTAATGTCCAGCAAGGATGACATATGCTATACTATAAATCGATACCAATGGATTTAAGCTCCATGAGGACAGGGCCTTGTTTTTCTGTTTTGTTCACTGATCTATCCCTAGAACCAAGACCAGCTGATATGTAGTAGGTTCTCTTTAAAATTTATTGTTTATAATTCTTAATTATAAATTAAAGTACTGTGAAAATATATAAGGTGTGACATAGGGTACAGCCTAGGCTGCAAGGGTCAGGGGAAGTGACGCTTAAACTGAAACCTGAAAAGAAAACTGGCAGAAAGAAAGGAGGAGAACATATCCCTGCCATGCCCTATACTTCTCCTGCACTTACCACACTTCAGCTGGAATTGATTATTTCAGCATCTAGCTTCAGTATAAGCTTTGGAAGGTCAAGGACCAAGCCTGTTTGTCAACAGAATCTCTGAATCCCTACTAGTACATAGTAAGAACTTCTCAATTTATTGACTAATTTTTGAGAAGGAAATTTGAACAATGTAGTCCATTCCAGTGACATAATTACAGCCTTTCAGGAGAGGCAAGTTTATTTAATACCATATGTACAAGAATCTGATTAAGAATAAGAAAATATTTACCTGTCATAAATCTTCGCAATTCTCAGTTCCCCTCTTCCCTTCCGCAAGCTTATCCTTGTTGTTGAAGCATGCGCCAGGATGTGTCCCCCGATGGGTTTTTTGGGGTCTGCCTGAAAACTGAATTAAAAACACCTTTTCAGGTTACATTATACAGACTATATAGAGCAATATCTGCAATTTCAAGGCAACCTCTCTGTGGAGGATGGCAGGGGATGGAATAGGTGTGTATGTATCCTGAACAAGCAGAGTTTATTAACTTTGGAGTGAGGTAGGGTTTGGAGCCATCCAGCTCAGGTTTCTGAGATTCCTGTGATAAACAGTTCATGTTTTTTGTTTGTTTGTTTTTTTAATAGAAAAAAACGCAAATAAAACATTACTCGCTATCTTAAGATAACTCTTGGGGTTAAGCAATTATTCTTCTTTGCAAAATACAATTTATTTATTCATGCATATATTTATTGGAAATTTTATTAACAGCCTACTATGTGCCAAGTACTACTGTAGCCTAATGAGTAAGAAACACTCAACCCTCCTTCAGGATGCCATGATGTAAACGAGAGCAGACGGAGAACATCCTTCTTATGCGTTAACTGTATGTTGGAAGCCCTCAATATTGTACAGGTTATGAACTTGCCATGAGAATAATCTCAGATATGGAAGTTATAAAATATCAAGGAGAATATTGGGCTGTAGAAAGACTGAAGCTACCACAGAAGGTAGACCAGTTAGAAGGTTCTATCAAGGGGAGACAAAAGAGGGTAGTCAGAGTTAGCTACATGGGCAGAGAAGTTTTCACAGCTGTGTTGCAGATGGCCTCTCAATACTGCCTGGTACTTCTCCTATATGAGCAGAGTTAGCTTCACCTCCCCTTTGCAAAACGTCAGCAGTCTCCTTAAGTCCCCTTCTGTATTCTTGTCCTCTCATCTTTGACACCACCACCTGCTTCTTCACAAAGAAAATGAGGGCTCAGGAAGAAGCTCCCTCAACTCCACCTTCTTTCTATCTGCCACCCACGTGCTTATTTACAGTTGTAGTCACTCTTCCTCCCTCCCTCTCAAACTTTTTTCTTATTTCGCAACTCTTTCACCTCGATGCCTTTGCACACAGGGTTCCCTCTGAAACGGAAGCCTCTTTCCCACTGTTGTCATCCCTTCTTGGGAGCCTTGCCTGATACCCTGAAATATTGTGTAGAGCCTGCCCCCTCTGTGCTCTCAAACTACTGTAGTAGTATTTCTCTGTTAAAGCACACTACATTGTAAATTTTTTTAATTCTCCCCTGAGGATACTTTTTCCACTGCTTTTCAGAGAGAGTGGAAGGGAGAGAGAGAGAAAAACATCGATGTGAGAGAGAGACATCAATTGGTTGCCTCCCACACGTGCCCCAACCAGGGCCCAGGATCGAGCCTGCAACCGAGGTACATACCCTTGGCTGAATCAAACCCGGGACCCTTCAGTCCGAGGCCCGAAGCTCTAACCACTAAGCCAAACTGGCCAGGGCTACACTGTAATTTTTAATTCATGGGTTTCACTGCCCCTATATTCTAAATCCTTGTTTGTCTTTGTAACTCCAGTGCTTAGAAAAGTGCCTATATATTATAGAAGGTACTCAATAATATTGTTGAATGAATAAAGAGAAGTTGGGTCTCCTTGGTCCAGATAATTTTGGACACAGATTTGTGTCATATCTTTGAAGAATCTATAATTCAAGGAACTTTTCAAGGGTATTCTGACAGAAAGGCAAATGTAAAAGGAGATAGAATTTCTCCCTAATTGAAGTAATCTCTCCCAACCCCGGTGCAGATAATTGAAAGAAAAGCAGGAAGCTAGAGCTTCTAGATGTATAGCCATGGTGTTTTCTTAGCAAATTATTATTTGCAGTTTCCACTGTAGTACCCTGTGCACAAAGAGAATAGGTATTACTGCTCGTTCTTGATTATTCTAGGTGAAGAGCCTGAATGTTAAGAATTCATCTCCAAAGGGAGATGATTTTGAATGAACTAAATAGGGAGATATATGATAGGATTTGCAAACGTACTAAGAAAATATCTAGGAAGATATGGGGAGAAAAAAAGAAATGAGTCTTCAACTACGAGGTTATGCTTAATCAAATAAATTGCAACACAGCATAAAGCCTTAGCTCTGGGAGAACAGTAAGTCAATTCAAATTTCACCTGCTCCTTCAAGGTATTTGGGATTCTGTGTAGAATTTGGGGATGAATTTATGGCTCTTAACCTTTTTTTTTGAATCCTCATCTGAGGATCCCCCTCCCCCTCCCATTGCTTTTCAGAGAGAGTGGAAGGGAGAGAGAAAGAGAGACAGAGACATCAACTGGTTGCCTCCCCACATGCACCCCAACAGGGGCCAGGGATCAAGACTGCAACCCTGGTACATGCCCTTGGCTGGAATCAAACCCGGGACCCTTCAGTCCAAGGGCTGATGCTCTAACCTCTGAGCCAAACCAGCCAGGGCATCTTAACCCTTTTTATAGGTCACTAACATGTTGATAATTTAATAAAAGATATAGACTATCTCCCAGAAAAATGTACATGTGTACATATATGTTTAGGAAATTCATGGTTTATTTCCCCTCTGGTATAGATAGGTATTAATAATAATAACAACCAAGCCCAGCCAGGAGTGGCTCAGCGGTTGAGCGTTGACCTAGGATCCAGGAGATCGGGGTTCAATTCCCGGTCAGAGCACATGCCCGGGTTGCCGGCTGCAGCCAATCAATGACTCTCTCATCATTGATGTTTCTGTCTCTCTCTCTCCCTTTCCCTTCCTCTCTCTGAAATCAATAAAGATATATTTTAAAAATAATAATAAAAAGAAATAACAACAAAGATTTATTGGGCCCTTACTATGTGGCAGCCCTTACTCTTCTGACTCATCTAATTATTTCCCTTTGCTTGGATTCCATGTTTAGTAAATAACTTTGGATTAAAATTTGGATTCCTACAGAGGTCTGCCTACACTGAGAGGATGTGCTGGTTATAAGAACCTCAAGTGTAGTTACATTTTTCAATATCAGTAAATGGCCCTCTGAACTTTGAGTCTCATGAGCTCGATTAACGTGAGCCTGCCCCTGAGAGATGGACTAGTTCTTGGCAGGCTGACCAAATCAAATCTCTGCCTGCAAGCCTGAGGGCCCTGAACTCCGGTCAGCTCACCAGGGTCATGGACATATCTCTGCAAAGCCTCTCAGATGACAGCATGCCAACCTTTCCTGTCATATACAGCCCTGATGTACTACTGTGTGGTATATCAACTTTGGAGTTGGACCTGGGTTCAAAACTTGACTTATCAGCCAGACATGTGACCTTGGGAAAATTGTTTAATCATTTTAAGTGTGTTTCTTCATTTTAAATGGGGGATAACGAAATGTGCCTAACTAGCAGGGTAGTTGTGAGAATAAAATGAAATCATTTAGGTAAGGCATTAGCTCAGTGACTACAATTATTACTTGCTTTCTTAATCCTGACTCAAACATGTAATCTATGTTACCTTGGGCTACTTAGCTTTATGACTCTCAGTTTCTTTAACTATAAAATGAGAACAAAAAGACCTTATGCCTTAGGGCTGTTGTGAGGATCCAAGATATATTTAGCATAACTCATTGGGAGCCTACTATATGCCAGGAACTGTGCCAATTAGTTCCACCCTTACAGTAATCTTGGCGCATAAGAGATAATCAATCAATGATAATAATAATTATTATTTAACTAAACAATCCAGATAAAACATGTAGACCAAGAAAATCTTAAAGTTTCTTTGAACTTCCTTTGAACCAAGTCTGGAGGTAAAGTACAAGAAGGGGTTACAGGATTGCACATTCTTTTAGAGGACTTCAACTTACTTCTATTTCTGACCAAGTAAAAACAGCTTCAGAAAAACACCCACATCCCTCCTCTAACCTGTTCTCTTATTTCCCCCCCTTTTGTACTTCCCTCTCCTCTTCTTTCCTCCTTGTCTTGGGGGGTGGGGGGGTGTGATGAGAAAGAGGAACAGATGGGGGTGGATATTATAAATAAAGAGGGGCCAAGAAAGATTGTTTTATTTATGCCCCTNGGGCCCTTACTATGTGGCAGCCCTTACTCTTCTGACTCATCTAATTATTTCCCTTTGCTTGGATTCCATGTTTAGTAAATAACTTTGGATTAAAATTTGGATTCCTACAGAGGTCTGCCTACACTGAGAGGATGTGCTGGTTATAAGAACCTCAAGTGTAGTTACATTTTTCAATATCAGTAAATGGCCCTCTGAACTTTGAGTCTCATGAGCTCGATTAACGTGAGCCTGCCCCTGAGAGATGGACTAGTTCTTGGCAGGCTGACCAAATCAAATCTCTGCCTGCAAGCCTGAGGGCCCTGAACTCCGGTCAGCTCACCAGGGTCATGGACATATCTCTGCAAAGCCTCTCAGATGACAGCATGCCAACCTTTCCTGTCATATACAGCCCTGATGTACTACTGTGTGGTATATCAACTTTGGAGTTGGACCTGGGTTCAAAACTTGACTTATCAGCCAGACATGTGACCTTGGGAAAATTGTTTAATCATTTTAAGTGTGTTTCTTCATTTTAAATGGGGGATAACGAAATGTGCCTAACTAGCAGGGTAGTTGTGAGAATAAAATGAAATCATTTAGGTAAGGCATTAGCTCAGTGACTACAATTATTACTTGCTTTCTTAATCCTGACTCAAACATGTAATCTATGTTACCTTGGGCTACTTAGCTTTATGACTCTCAGTTTCTTTAACTATAAAATGAGAACAAAAAGACCTTATGCCTTAGGGCTGTTGTGAGGATCCAAGATATATTTAGCATAACTCATTGGGAGCCTACTATATGCCAGGAACTGTGCCAATTAGTTCCACCCTTACAGTAATCTTGGCGCATAAGAGATAATCAATCAATGATAATAATAATTATTATTTAACTAAACAATCCAGATAAAACATGTAGACCAAGAAAATCTTAAAGTTTCTTTGAACTTCCTTTGAACCAAGTCTGGAGGTAAAGTACAAGAAGGGGTTACAGGATTGCACATTCTTTTAGAGGACTTCAATTTACTTCTATTTCTGACCAAGTAAAAACAGCTTCAGAAAAACACCCACATCCCTCCTCTAACCTGTTCTCTTATTTCCCCCCCTTTTGTACTTCCCTCTCCTCTTCTTTCCTCCTTGTCTTGGGGGGTGGGGGGGTGTGATGAGAAAGAGGAACAGATGGGGGTGGATATTATAAATAAAGAGGGGCCAAGAAAGATTGTTTTATTTATGCCCCTCTGGTTGAACAGAATACAGCCTATCATTTCACTGAGGGTAAAACCCGAATAGCCTGACCTTCCAACTTCAAATATGAGTGATGGGGTCATGAAGCATCAGTTGCAGCGATGGTAGGGCAGGCGGTAGCTTCCTGGGAGTGGGATGGGAGGGCAGCACAGTGAGGCTAAGAAAGCATACTTTCGAAGTCAGAGATGACAGGGTTAAAGCCCTAGCTGTTTTTTAATAGTGCGATTGAGTAAGTATGAAATACTCTGAGCCTCTCTTTCCTCCTTTATAGATTAGGAATAATAACAGTGTACATATACCTGAAATACTTGTTGGAGTGGGGGCCTTGAGGGGCCTGGGCAAGGGCAAGCTTGAGGGACGGTGGGTCCTCCTGGTACTTTTGACTTGCTAAGGGGTAAGCTTACAGATGGAGTGTTTGAGCAGGGGTCCACCGAGGAGAAGACTGAGTGAGCATGCCCAAGAATAAGGGGGATGCTTTGAGATTAGGGGAGACAGGGAGAAAGAATACTTCCAAAAGAGGAATGTGGGAGGAAGAGGGGATAGTTTCAAAACAGGAGTATGTTTAACAAGTTTTGTTAGCTAATCTGCCCCTTTTGTTTCCTCCCAAAGTATGCAGAAAGATCTACACTTTTTTCCAACATTTTGAGGTGGAATTCTAGAGTGATGGGGAGCAGGAGAAGGGTGGAGCAACATACTGAGACCAACTCATAGAAAGGACAGGGAGGCCAAGGAGGCTGAGTGAATGACAGAAGGTAATGCGTGGAAGCACCTGGCACGTCGAGGGCGATCAGTAACTGTAAGCCCTCTTTGTTGCGATGGGGAAGACTGTAAGTTCAAGCGCCTTGGACAAGGGCACCATGCTGGTGGCCCTGGTTTAATGTTTGTATCAGACCACATTCCCTCTTCATTCATGCTCATGATGTTGAATCAGTGGGAGACATCTCTAGAGAATAAACTGACTCCACATTTACAAGACTGCAAGTGTCCTACAATGACTTTATGCTCTAGGAAGACAGATACACAAATGAAGTAGGCGGCGTGCTGGTCTTATCCATGGCTCATCTCATCATTTGCCCTGGTGTGGAGCTTTATAGCCTGATACTCTGACTTTTATCTCCAGACCTTCATCAACATCATTCGAGTTCTAAAGTCCGTATCCGTAAGCCTCGTCTAGGAGCTGCTGCTACTGCTCTGCTGTATCATCATATGGCAGCTCCTAGCCTCTATAATTTTGTTTCTTTTTAATACAGTGTGGTATCAAGTACAATGCATGGTATATAAGCCTCAATTATTGTCAGCATACTTGGGGACTCATACCAATTATAGTGATACTTCTCTGGCAGGCCCCAGGCAAGCTGTGGCTTGGAGTTCCTCAGCACTGAGAAACAAAGGTATTTTCTTTATGGGAGGTTTTCTAAAAGCATTTAAAATCCTTTAGTTTAAAACTGTCCTGTTTTGTTTTGTTTTTTCATTTAGTGTGGTAATTTATGTGTCTAATATAAAGACATGCATTGAATTTGCATTGTTGTAATTTTAAAATACTTTAGAATACACTAATTATGGTGAGCCTTGTTTCCTTACAACTTGGCTAGGTGGAGGAGATGATGTTTCAGAGCAGATTCACCCAGCAAAAATACCAGCCTCTGTTACCTTCTCTGGCTCTTTACTTAGCTCAATTCATTATAAATCTCCTCCCCTCTCTTACTCCTTCAATTATTTCCTTTCTATCACCTCTCTATTTCTCTTGTCATTGTCTTACTGGAGTATACACAAAATGGCTTTACTCTTTTTGGAACTTTCTACAAATATGAGAAAAAAAATCCCTATCTGTGACCTAATTTCCACTGATTTCCTTTGCCTTCTAACTCCAGATAGCCAGTGTTGGCCTCTCCTATGTTCCCTCCCCACACCTGAAGAAAGAACACTGCTCTTTAACTTGAACTGTTCTATTTAAATGCAACCCACTGAGCCAATGAGTCATTTTCTCTTTTTAAAGTAAGCCTTAGAAATCTTCCATCTATCTTCAGTTTAAAATTACTCTGTGAAGTGCTTCACATCCTATGTATAAAGACACCCTATAAAACAGAGACGATGGCCTCAACCACTCCAAGATGAACAGCAAAGCGTGCCCTACCAAGACTAAAATTTTGAGTTCAATGTCCATCACTTATTTGTCTTTTTTTATGGAGGCAAGGCACATAGACTCTTTTGTTGACTAGTGAATTTTCAGAATCTTGATACATACATTTTCAATAAATATTTATTGAATGAATTCAATGATTGATTTTCCCATCCTCAATTTTTTTTAACTTGCCTTCTATCATTTGTATAATTAGTCCTTTCATATTGGAATCTCCTGTGATTAAGTAGAAAATACTCATAAAAGAGTATTGAAAAATGGGAGATATGCAGAAGGTGCAGCAACACTCTTAGGGTTAACTTAGAAAATGCCTAACAAGAGACACATTCATTTCAATACAATTTGCAGAATATACACTAGCATATCAAATATCTTCTAATATATATGTCAATCTCATGACTTTTTATTTTATAATTGGAAGTTTAGGGAATGTAATGTACAGCAGAGTGACTGCAGTTAATAATAATAAAAAATAACATGTCAATGACTCATTTATCTTCTACGCTTTGATGTACTGACTCAGTTTTAGAGTAATATCACTATGTATTGAAACCATTAGAGTGATAATTGATGGAAGCAAGAATCTTCAATGAATGTTATTATAGTAAAAGGTATTTATACCAGCCTCCAAGTATCACCTCACAAATTGCTTATTGATTACAAAGGGGAAAAAGTCTTTTACAATGCAGAAATTTTGTGACCACCATCTTAATCACATGATCAAACTTAACATCCCTAATAATGGGACAAACTGCCTTATAGTTTTCCTGGGAAAAGTGTTTAGCATTTCAGATTTATTTATTTATTTATTTATTTATTAAAATATATCTTTATTGATTTCAGAGAGAGGAAGGGACGGGGAGAAAGAGAGCTGAAACATCAATGATGACAGTCGTCATTGATCAGCTGCCTCCTGCACGCCCCTGACTGGGGATCAAGCCCACAACCGGGGCATGTGCCCTGACAGGGAATTGAACCTTGATCTCCCAGATCCTTGGTCGATGTTCAACCGCTGAGCCATGCCGGCTGGGCTGTTTAGCACTTTAAATAATAAGAAAAAAGCACCCCCAATTTGAGGGACATTCTGAAAAACAGTTGTATTGTGCTCTTCAAAAATGTCAGTGTCATAAAAAGTCTAACAAAGGTTGAGGAACTGTTCTGATTAAAGGAGTCTGAAGAGATATGAAAATTACATGCAACACATGATCCTCCCTTAATCTTAAGTCTAAAACAAAACAAAAAAATGCAAACAATTATAAAGGAAATTATTGGCGTAATTGGAGACACTTGAATACAACTGCATATTCGATAACATGAGTATGCCAATATTAAATTTCCTGAGTGCAATGACTTTGCAGGAAAATGTTCCTGTTCTTAAAAGAGATATGCTGAAGTATTACAAGGTGAAGTGTCATGATGTATACAAATAATTCGCAGTGGTTCAGAGGAAAAAAACCTCAAATGGTTCACCAAAATATACACACATACACACATTTTATATGAGTGCGTGCACACACGAGAGAAAAAAATGTGGCAAAATGTTAACAATTTGATGAACCTCGGTGAAAGATATATGTGTATTCATTATACTAGTTTTGTAACTTTTCTCTGGTTAAAAAATTTTCTAAATAAAAAGTTGCAGAAAAGACCTTTAAAAAGCAATATCATGGATTGAGGATTATTTTGATTGCTTCTTCAGATACATAATCTTCAGAATTTTTCATGGTAGCAACTAACCTTTCTTCAAATTTTCGGTTTTCATTACCCTCTATCATCTCTGCTTGTGTTTCCCTTCACTGCCATCTTTCAAACAGAGCCATCAATAGGTGCATTATGTGTACAAATAGTTCAACAAATTCTACATATGTCTGATACGGACTGAAATTGTTCCTTCAAACAGTAGACTTCTCTCATAGGACCTCTTATAAATATATATATCCTGTAAAGAGCCAGCTTTTTTTGTTTTAGGCTAACAGCTTATCAGTGAAATAAAGCTATTCATACATCTGGAATATGTTTTAATTTCTCTGGGATCTTTTTCTTATCCTTTAATATCCTTTTAGTCCCAGACAAAAGCAGAACCCAAAGTACCTCTGACGATAGTTAAACTATTGCTTTATTTTATAAAGAACTAGAGAAAAATAGGTTCTGGAAAACAAATAAATGATATTTGCAATTATAAAGTAATATGCACTGTGTAATAAAGAAATTTGTGATGTATATGTTCCCACATCAGGACTGATTACATTGGAATTATTTTCTGTTCTACACTTGAACTCTCTGTTATTAACCTTTGTGAAATACAAAAGCAGAATATTGGGGCTTACGTCATGGTTGCTCCTGGATCGGCAGTCATTTGGTTGGTCACAAACACAGCCACATTATATTCTGCATCAAGAAATAAAATTAAGAAACTAAGATAATGGCAAAGTAAATATAAACAATTCTTTGCTTAGATTTCAGAGCTTAGGAATATTGTGTCATGAGTTTATTTTATAAACAAAATTATATTCCTATCTTTTCTTTATAAACGTAAGTTGATTTAAAGCTATTATTGTTATTATTTAGGCACCTTATTACATTAGAATCAATACTTTTGATTTTTTTCAAAAGAGTGGTATACCCATGAAGGTAATTTTATTTTTTAAAAATGTATCACCTCCTGACATTATCCTGAGCTTCTCTGCAAAGTCTACTCAGCAAACTGCCACAGGTGCTATTCTGTTAGTGCCATTTTATTTTCAAAATCTACCTTCTGAGATTTTTTGGAGTCGTGATAACATCTGGGCCAGTTTTTGTTGTCGTTCAGCCAACTCCCCACGACCACTGAAATCCACTCGAAAAAGTGCCATTATTGAATCAATGATCTGTAGAGTTCATGTAAAAATAAATATGCATTTGAAAAGGAAGAAGTTAATATGAATCAGAATCAACAGAAGAAAAAAAATATACTAAATAGCTCTGTGAGTGAGGAATATTTAAAAGCTTGTACCAATAGCTTGAAGATGCCAGCTTCTTCGTGGAACTTGGCTGCTACATAGTCAAGTAGCTCCATCTGATGTTCACCTAGTGGGAAATGCAGTGAGAAAATGTTATAAAAGCTGGAAGATGCAGAGTCTCAGATCAGTTATGTCCTTGAGAGTCAGGCAGAAGAGAATCCTGGAAGGGTTTTCTTAATTATTTGTAACTTTATTAAATATGATTCATATTCTGCCTTAGCATACATGCCAAATGCTACATTATCCATGTTACTCTCCATTTCAAAGACAAAGAATAAGAAATAATTTGAGGACATTTTAATATCTAAGGACTTGCCAGATGATACAATTTGTGAACTGACTAAATTAATTTGGAGAAAAGTAAAATAAAAAAAGATAACAGTGTCAAAGTGTCATAAGTATCACTCATATAGTAAATCAGTGCTGCCAACCTGAAAACAGCCTAAGCATCCAACTGCATGGGGTTCTTACTAGTATATGCACGTGCATAAAGGACATTGTCCAGTACTGCATCATGGTCTACATTGAAGCGATCAGCAATATCTCGGAGGCGATCTGGACGGCTGGAAGGCGCCAAAATTAAGGAACTAATAAAGCAATTCCAAAAAAGTTTAGACAACAACTACAAAAAATAATACTGTAAGGAAAGCAACAAAGAGATAAAACAATGTACCTGTAAAGGTAATCTGGAGGATGCTAATAATCACTTCAAATCTATACCAGATTTTATTTTTCATAAGTGCCTCATGAACACCTTGGGTAATGGTTAAAGAAATGATGAGGCAGTAATGCATTTAAATATTAAATTATCTAATCTTTACAATAATCATGGAAACCAGTTGTTACGGCCTATGTTACATTTTACAAATAAGGACAATGACGGAATAGGCAAATGACTCAGGATTATGCAGCAAATCAGTTACGAGAGAAAAACTAGATGCTAAGATTTGTGAATCTCTTTCGTTTTCATGTCTATAAAAATAGATGTATTCTAGGAAGATAACATCACTGAATTACAATTCAAGTTACTTCAAAGTGAATTAATTCATTCTCTTCACACTCCTCACTTGTTCAATATGAAATAGTTTATTGTATCATTAATCATGTTTTGCCAGTGAATAATAAATTTCACTATATGAACTTAAAGGATCAGAAAAGTAACTTCAAAGATCAGAAGGGAATTACTGACCTTCTTCTAAAGGAATTGTGTTAGCTTTCTGAAATTAGTACATTCATAGGGAGGTGAGTTCAGTGTACCTGTAAAGGTATTCTGGAAGATGCTAATAATCACTTAGATCTATCTAAACTATAAAGGAGTAAAAACATTTTTAGGTCTTTGGTGATCCCAACAATATGTCTACAGTATATTCTCTAAAGTGAAGTGAGGTAAAATAAAATGCACGTCTGGGGTCTCATTTCACTTTGCATTCATATAACACTGATCATACTGTAAGTAATTGTAAAGCAAGAACCATTTATAATCTAATTTGTGGCACTTGCAACTAGTTCAGTAAATACTGAATTGAATTGGCTTTTCCTAGCCATCTATATCCTAACGCACTATGTATGTTCAGTTCTTCAGAGCTTCAATGACAGCCACTAAAATCTTCCATTGCTACTGATATATCCACTAGATGTTTTTGGTGGACAAGTCAAAGAAGACAAGGAATTAGAAGAGGCAGTAAAACCATTTTTCACCATGTCAGTGTTTACAAAACTTGGTTACTGTGTGACCAGAGTATAAAAATTGTGTTGATGCTGAAGAAAGTTCAAATCAATCTACAAATATTTATTAACTGAATACCATATGGAATCAATTACCATAATAATAAATTACCAGTGCAAGGCATTATGGAGGCTATAAGGAGTCATAAGATAATTCACACCAAAAGGTAAGCATAAAACACAATTAGGCAAAATATAAACATATAAAATGAAAAATATCAAGAGAGAACAGAATATGTGTAAGAGACACTGAAAGAATGAGAGCATTCTGCTGAGGCCCTCAAGTGTGCTTGTCCCTCCCTAGTCGCTCTTGTATAGGACTTGGCTTCTAAGTGTTCCTCTCCACCATTCTTGATAAAATCCAAATTGCCCAAACAGTGGTTTCTAATCTGTAAGAACACTTCCTCCCCCTCCAAGAACCATCCTTAAACAGCTCTTTCTGAAACTAGCTGAACTCCAGCTGAACTCCTCTTGCTACAGCCCTACACAGCATTCCACCCTCCTTCCCCAACTTAGAAGTTTCCTTCAGAGTCTTCTTAAGCCCAGTATTCCCAAATAAAGTATTCTGCAAACAGTTCTCTGGTGTTTCTTCTACTGGGGTATTGGAGTCTTTTGGACAGTAAATTTAGGGGATTGTATGATTCAGAAAGATTGTGAGGTCATTACCATGCAAATTTGTCTTGACAGGCCAGATGAACATTCAAGAGTGAGAGCAAAATAACGCATTTTCAGAAATGCCAGGGCTCAAGTTTACCACCTGCACCACTTTTCTGAAAAAATGATTTGAGTAGGTACTCCAGGAAAACAGAAATACAGGAAAGAAGATGATTTGGGATGCAAGAAACAATAATGAATAAAGAAAACAAAAACCTTAATAATTAAGTCCAAATAACTGCTGATGGACAATGTTTTCAAATTTTAATAGCAAAGCATGTTTTAGGGGCAGTCTGACTGAACTAGAACAGACTGATCTTTTTGCCTCTAATAGTGGCAATTGTGAGTAATGAGCTTGGAGAATTAGGCTGGGGCTGCCTTGTGAATGGCCTTATGAACTCGTACATGTCTTCCCTATTGTTAATAAGTTTCCTCTGAACCTAATACCTCCTCAAATTACTGTATTTCTTCTTCTACCCACTGATTAACACACTGCCTCAGTTCCTTACTGCTTATCTACAAGCAGCTTCCATCATCTCACTTTACTGCCAGTGCTCTCTTGGGCTTCTGATTTCAAACCTCAGTGACCTTTCTCAGTTTGCACTTTCAGTCTGTCTGCCCGTCTGTCTGTCTGACTCTCGCTTCATGGAACATTGCTGACTACACTTTCTTCTTGAAACTCTTTTTGCTCGTCCTTCACATCCAGATTTCCTCCTACTTCCTCTGCTTCTGTAGGTTCCTCCTTTCAGTCCTTTCTAAGCACCGGCACACCCCAACGTTGTGTTCTCAGTTCTCCTCTCCTCTCCCTAAGCTCTCGTGCCCCCGTGGCTATGACATCCGTGTCTCTGGGCCCCATCCCTTTCTCAAGCTGAGTCCAACATTTCCACCTGCCATATGGATATCTTCCTATACCTCACATTCGACACATTAAAATGAAACATCACCTTTTCTCTGAAAGATGACCTGCCTGATTCTGTCATTACCATCATGATTCTCCCAGAACGCAGGCAAAAAACCTGTGTGGTTTCTCAAAGCTCTTTCCTGTCTACCAAGTTCTGTCATCGAGTCCTATCAGTTTTCCTCCCTCATGTTTCTTGTCCTTTTCATTCCTACTGCTTCCAACCTAGATCAAGTTCTCACTACTGGCCCAGAACATGGCAAAAGTATCTAATTTACATCCACCAAAAACATCGATGTGAGAGAGACACGTCGATTGGTTGCTTCCCACACGCACCCCAAAGGGGCTGGGGATGGAGCCTGCAACGGCGCTACATGCCCTTGGCTGGAATCTAACCCGGGACCCTTCAGTCCACAGGCAATGCTCTAACCACTGAGCCAAACCGGCCAGGGCTGAACTGCGTTCTTTGTCACCCAGACAGGCGCTGCCCTCTTCCGTTCTGCGCTCGTTCTTTCACCCTTCTCCACCCTCCCCGACTCCCCCACCCTGAGCAAGTCAGTACCTTCTGTCTCCTTGTAAGTACAGTTTCTGGAGAAGAGGGTTAAACATGAATAAAATGTCATTTCCTCCCGTGTATTTGTTTTGTCAATTTCACACTAAATCCATTCAAAAATGAAAACTTTTTAAATAAAAACTGATTTGAGACCTTGACCAGCAATTGTTTTTCCCTTGGCTTTCTCATTATTGCTGGTTTAGGGGATGATTATAAAAATTATGTATTTCAAACAAACTCTTTTGTAGTAACATTACTATGTCACACCGCTATGTTAGCAACTTGTTTAAGTAAAAAGGTTACAAAGTATTTTCTGTATCAATGAAGATAATCTTTCCTCCTGAGTAGCCACCTGCTCCTGGAAGTTGAGCTGTCACTAGGAAGCAATGAAAAGTTAATGTTAGTAGGAATCTTTATACAGATGAATGTATACATTCACATGGGATTTATGCTGGTTGCAGTTCTTTAGTCAAGCTAGCAAAGAATCATGATTCCTTAGTTTCTAAACAGCATATTCTATTTTTATAGTACTAACCAAAGGCAAAATTAAAAGTATTCTGCCAGCAGAGTAGTAATTCAACAAAGAATGTCAACATCTCTCAACAATGGGAGATACTCATGAAAGCCAGTTCTCCTAAAGAATAGAGGTAGAATTTACTAACTTTCTTCTTATAAGAAATAATCACAAATATAATTTATGCTATATAATTCATTTTAGTAACCTTTGATTAATTTATGACAAATTTTAAATGTTTCTTTATATGTAGCAGTAGTTCATATTAAGGAATTACTTTATATGAGGAACATGCATTATTTCATTTATTTTTCAAGACAACCCTAAATTTGGTACTATCATTATTCCTATTTTGCTGATGGGGATAATTAGAACAGTAAAGCAACTTGCCCAAGTCACACAGCTATTAATGGTAGAGCCAAGACTGAAGCCAGGGATTTTGATTCCAGAATCCCTTTCTTAATCATTTTGCCATGCTCCTTCTACTTAAGTCAAAGAAATGCACAGTAACGTCTTTGTGCAAAAGGAGGTTTTTCCCCCTTACTTTGTTTTAGAAAAATTTGTTTTTTAAGTTTTTCTTAGGGCCAACCTTACTCCATGGAAAGTAAGGGATTCAAGGCCTCAACAGATTTTATGACATTCTTGAAGATACGACATAGAAAAGATGGAATGGAAAAAACTGAGACAGTGACAGCTCCTCCCCACCAACACACTCATATACCCATTTACTTCATCCCTGTTTCCATTCAGGTGTTCAGAGCGCAGCACATCGCCTCAAGCATCACACGTTCAAAGACTAGCTCTGGTATTTGTAATATGGGCAGTTAACCTCTTTGAAATTTAGTTTCCTTGTAAATCTGTTCAGATTACATGAGATTATATAAAGTACCAGGCACAAATTAGATTAGTAAGTGATAGCTATGATCGTTATTATTGTTGCTGTTATGTATCCTTACCACAGAGGGTATGAGAGAGTTGGGTTTTTCCAGTACGAAATTCTGTGAAATACAGAAAACAAAAACAAAAAGCACATAGTTTTTAAATATTTCCATAAAGAATAAAATATAGCCTCAGTGTACAGTTTTCTTTTCCAACTGTCAAATCTTACACATAAAGCACCACCACATCATGAATGGATTCTACATATATGGATACCAACAATAAAAATAACTTGTAAAGGTATTTTTTTCACAGAACTGTCCTTTAGATAAAAATTAAGTAAAACTAAGTTTTCCTTAGAAATAGTCATATAAATGAGAGTTTAAGACCCTTCCATAGGAAGGAGAGCCTGGGGTTCTCCCACTGAACTGAGATTCTCAAAGGGGAGCGGAAGGAGTCTCAAACTGGTGGGAAGATGCCCTAGCTACCAAAAAAGCGAATTCTCTCTAGAGGAAAACTTGCCCACTCACCAATTTAGGCCCTCTGAACTCCCACAGCTTAAAATCAGATAATAACCTCACAAATATCAATAAATATACAAGATGATAAGCCACTGAGACTGAGATAATGAAACCAGATTTCTCTAAGTCAACAAAAACATAAATAAAACAACAGATTTAATCCCCAAGGGCTTGAAATACTGGGATTGTCAGGCACAGTATGTAATATAGCTATGCATGAATTGTTTTGAAAAAAAATAGAGGATATAAACAGGGAAGAGAAAATCTACTGTGTTTATTCAATATGCATTTCTTAGAAATAAGATGTTTCATTATTCAACTACCTTTTGAAAGAATGTGAAAACAATTCTATCTTCTATAGAAGTCAGAGATAAAACAATGAAAAATGCCAATAAGGCCCATCTATTAATGTTGGAATATATTTTAACTGTAGCTTAGAATAATCGTGTATTATAATTGATATTTCATCATAAGTTCCAAATTAGGTACAATTTACTATTGGTTGTTTATTTAATTATATATGTATGTGTGTGTATATATGTGTATATATATAATTTTTTCCAATAACAAAATATTAAGGTTCTGCCTACCTCCAAAAGCTTCTGTGATCGCCATGCTTTCAATTCCACCTCCTAGCAACTTACTAGAAATAGAAAGCAAGCATTACTAACAGGAACAGAAACAGAGATATCAAGAAAGGCGAAAATGTTAATATAATTTCTTTCTACATCTATCTATCTATCTATCTTATCTATCTATCTATCTATCTATCTATCTATCTATCTATCTATCTATCTATCTATCTATTGAACATGAACAGGAATTCTTGGCTGAACAAATGTAACTCCATCTGCTTAGATCACAGGTTCTACTGTGTGAAGGCTGGTGGATCAACAAAACAACTTGTAAGCCCTGCTGTTCTGGGTACCAATAGGAAATGGGCTATACAGGTTTTATGTCTCAGTTCTGTTCTTTAGAACTGAACAGGAATTTGAATAAATGGTCTTATTATTAACTGAGTTTTTCATATTGTACTGGGACTATGTTTCTAAAAGTCAACAAAATATTCAATTTTTTAAAAATATACTGAGAGCCTGGCTGGGCGTGGCTCAGCTGTTGAGTGTCAACCCTAGGATCCAGGCGATCAGGGTTTGATTCCCTGTCGGGGCACATGCCTGGGTTGTGGGCTTGATCAATGACTCTCTCATCATTGATGTTTCTGTCTCTTTCTCCCTCTCCTTTCCTCTCTCTGAAATCAATAAAGATACATTAAAATATATATATATATATATACTGAGAAACATGAAAAATAGATACTAGGAGAAAGGAAATGATAAACTAATTTTAAAAAATGATTTGTAGATTAATACAGGCTGATTCAGAAACTATATTTTTGTTCTGAATTTCTTTTAAGAAATTTAATACTGTTTCTACAAGTAGTTTAAAATTTATTTGCTTCAGTTGCTTTTTGAGGGGGGGAAAAAAAAACTTCAAAAGAAGGAGCTATTTTTTACTACTTCTGGTAGAAACAACAACCAGATAGAGAAAAAGAAATATAGTATTTCAAAGATTGTGCTTAGTGATTATAAAATATATGAGATACACACTCAAATTCCTGGCTCCCAGTGGTGATATGGAAAACCATTTTCCTCTTCTCACTGTACTCAAACGCAGTCAAAAATCCTGGTTCCTACAGAAAGACAAAAGGAAAGGTTTAAAAAGGGTATAAGATGATGGCTTTAATTTCAAATGCTGCTGAAAATTATAGACCTGGTTATCAGAATCATTATTTGATATAAGCTCAGTTCATTTGTCTTTGAAGGCAGCACAAGGTCATGGTTAAGAACATAGGCTCTTGAGCCACCTTACTCAGGTTCAAAGGCCCAAAAAGCTCTACAGAAAAGCTTGAATCAAAGCATATGGTTTTGCTTGGAGCCTGTCAGCAGCATGATCTCTCATAGTCTGTGGGCCCAACTATAAGGTATGGGTTTGGCTCAGCTTTAGCTCAGCTACCACAGTGAGCATATTCTTGGTCATATCTATCTCAACTGCACACATAAAGACCCAATCACTGTCAGTCTTTTTCTAAGCCAAAGCTCTCTTATCAATTGGTCTATACCAGGAGAAAGTAACTTCTTTAGTGTAACAGCCATAGATATATTTGAGGAGACAAAACAAAAATAAGAGGAATGTAAAAAAATTAAAAGGAGAAGGAAAGGCAGAGAAAAAGAAAGTAAAAGAAATATAAAGGGAGACAAAAAGAAAAGTTTAGTAAAAATAATTACCATCATAGTGTCTCAGGTCTCTTAATCCCTGCCTCAATCTTTCAGAAATTAACTGTTGCATTTTATCACTGAAGTGATAAAAAGTTAACATGGAGAGAATAGTATACAGGATCTACAGGAAATTAGAGTTCCCACAATAGTTTCTAGTGTTCATAATGAGAAAGGCTACAGAGACTCACAGGGCCCTTCTAAGCTAAAACAAAGAAAGGATTTTGCTTACAATGAGTTTATTGGCTGCCTCTTTAATCTTGTCTACTTTTGCTTCTGAGAGCCCTTTGACATTGCATAGGGCTCTTCTTGTTGTCATTTGTATCCCTTTGATAGTACAGATTCCTACTGACTTCAGTTTCTTAATGTCAGCCACATTCTGTAAATAAAAGAATGGAGCAGATTGATAAAATACCAGCCTGAAAAACTCCCATACTATGTCATGTGCTTTTGTGTCCATCTCCTTCCACCACGATGCCAATTTTATACAAGCAACCAGGTGGAACCCACCCACCATGTAGCCAAATGTTCTCAAAATATCTGAGTAGAACATACCCAGCACGCAGCCAAATGTTCTGGCTGTGCCCTGATTTCCCAAGAATGTTAGTGAGACCATGGCAATGGAACAAGGACTTAAAAAGAAAAGTCTGTTGGTAGAAAAGCTAGCAAATTTATCACACATTCACCCCCTCAGTTCAGTTCCTTCCTTCTAGAGAACTTCATTGCCAGTATGTTCTTTTATATTTTTTAAAGATTTTCCCCCCTCTACCCTTAGAGAATGCAAATAGCTACATCACCAAAGGACCAGAATTTTCTCTTGCTCCTATTTTCTAAATCTAACTGAAAGAGATAAAATATGAGGCTTCAAAAGATAATGTCAGAGGAGTTTTACTATCAACTGCTGTTGAAATTCATTTAGCTTATTTGGAGTCTGGATTTCTATAAACATCATTTACTCTAATCACCTGACACAGAACTGAATTTTCTTCTGTTGAAGACAATAGATGTAGATAGCTCTGAATACCCCCAGTTGAATCAGTGGTTCTCAAACAGGGGCAATTTTGTCCCCTAGGGACACTTGACAACGTCTGGACAAACTTTAGTTGTCACAACTAGAGGTGTGCTACTGGCATATAGTGAGTGGTTAGAAGCGAGGGATGTTGCTAAACACCCTACAATGCACAGTACAGCTCCCCACAACAAAGAATCGCCCGGTCCCAAATGGTCAATAGGGTCAAGGCCGAGAAACCCTGAACTGGATAATTTCACACAGCACTGAAAAAATACTTACAATTCCATGTTTTTGTAACAGGTCAATGTCTTGAAACAAAGATTCCTAAGGGAGATGGAACAGAAAAAAAATGGAGCTTTAATTCTTCATACCTAACAGTTTAGCATCTTTTAAAGAGTTAACTCAATATTATGGTCACTCCAACTTCCTCAAAGTCCACTTCTCCAGACAGACAGAGCTAGGATCAACAATGCTTTTACAAAAACATTGTTACATACTTAGAAAAGCCAAGATCAAAAGGGGCTGGGAAGTCCAATACTTTTGTCACGGCTTCTTCAAATTTTAAAGATCTTAACCCAAAGGAGTGGAACAACATTTAACCTATTTTAAAATACGGTTTCTCAACCTTCTTTCCCACCAGACCTTGCTCTCCTTCCTCTGCTGTTCATTACCAGAATGCACAGGAACCAGAATGGCCATACCAGTTGTTATTAGCATGATTTCATGCCAGTTGCTAAGTAGCTAATCTTAGCGCCCCTTGCTAAACAAGTCGTTACATACTTGTAATATTGCCTCTCTAGAACTGTTTTATTTATATCCAGTTTCTAACTATAGCAGCTAACAGAGAAGGAACCTCATTTTTGCGGCATGACTGCATGTCTACACACCTTTCACTATTCTTGCCATACCTCTTCATCTTGGAACCCTGGCTCCTCCAGCACAACCTGATCCTCCTTCATACCGAAAGGCCAGCCCCAAGGAAAAAACAACAAACAGCTCTGGGAAAACAAGAAATACTATTTAAGAAGTAGTCATAGATTATATAGTACAAATTCCTTTGCCCGGAGACCTCCTTGATTTTATTTCAAAGTCACCAAGGACCGGAAGGACGACTAGAGAAACATGTAGCTTGGAATGACTGGCTGGCCTCTGCTCTTTCCGCTGAGACCAGGCAGTATTTCTCCTGTGAGTGTAAGTACGTGGGGGTGGAGGGCTTAGTTTCTTCTCTCTCTCTCTTCAAAACTGGTCATTTTTTATATCTTTTGATTTCCTACAGCACAGCTCATTATGACTGTCTGACATCTTTTTTATTATCTTGGAATGCTATTCAGAATTGCATGTTGCTATTTAACCTTTCATGTTTATGTTAACAACAATCTTGGACCTGATAGCGTTCTTCCTGTACCCTCCCTGCTCCTAGGACTTAGTCTACCCTCAATAAATAGATTTTATTTTTCTCCTAAAATACAAATACCTTCCTGCTTGCTAATTATGAATGGGCTCTCTTGTAACATATCTTTTTGCTTCCCAGAACATTAGATGTATTTTGTATTTACTAGTTTTGTGAAGATTTAAAATTATAGTGGCTACCCAATACTATAATATTAAGGCCAAGAAAACAGAACCCAACACTCTTATTTAACACCGCAGCTGTTGTATTAAGACCTCAGGAATCTGCAAGCCATGGCTGCATTCATTATGATAAAATACGGTCCAAGTAATTCAGGTTTTTGGGGCCTATTCCATCTCCTCACTTGATACTAAAGTTGGGGCCCAGCAGAAGCGGGGCGCGCAGTTAAGATGGAGGTGGGGTTGCTACCCCTATGCTTCTAAACAGCCAAGTGCGGAGGCCAGCGAGAAGGCCGCGCAAGCGGGATCGCCTAGAATACTGTTCCTCGGTCACCCACGCACGTGGCGGCCCAGCGTCCGCACTGACGTCCCCGTGGACCCAAAAATCATACATTTCTCCCCCCTTGAAAAAGCTAAAGTGTTTTTCTCTATCTCACTCAAGTAGCAATTGCTGGACCGGACAGTGGGAGGACTCCCAGAACCCCCAGGCTGTGCCCCCGCCCGGCAGCCGGGCCGCGTCACCCTCAGCAGGAGGCCTGGTCCCCGTCCGCAGCCGGACTTTTTCCTGACACGCGCGATTCCCTCAGGAGGAGGCTGAGGGGGCTCCTCCGCGCTTGGGCCCGGCTGGATTTAACGTCGGGATGCTGCTGGGAACCCCTCGAGATCACTGAGGTTCCCTCCCGG